ATGGGATGCCAGTGTTGCAGGCAGCAGCTTTACCCACTACACCACAATGGCCAGCCCAGAGAAATAGGGGGCCTTTTGAAAAATATGTCTTATACCATTTTTCAGTAAGAGATAAAAGGCAGCCATCCTGGCCTTCGGTGCCCATGCTGCAGCATGTGTCGGGAGCATGCGTCAGTGCGTCTCCACTGCTCAGCTGCACCCCGGGTATAAATGGGCCATATTTGGTTCCTATGTCAGGGCCCTGCTTGCCTGTCTTGCTCAGTGGCAGCCCAGGTACGAATGTGCCACATTTTGTTCAGCCACTTGCCAGGCAATGGGCATCCAAGTTCTGCCTGCTTTCTGGACTATTACAAAAAATGCAGCTGTGAACATTCATATACAAGTTTCTGAGTCACTGTGTGCTTTCCTCGGCCTTGGGTAGACACCGAATTTCTGAGTCATATGGTCAATTTATGTTCAACATTTGTAGAAACATGGCAAGCGTGCAGGCTTCTCCAGCACCACACATGGCTACCGCCTGTCTTCTGACGACAGCCACCCTGGCAGGTGTGAGCAGGAACCCCACACGGTACCAGCTCCAGAAAGATTGATGATGCCACACACATTTCCAGGTTGCTCGTTAGCTCCTGGGAAGTCTTTCATGGGGAGAGAGCTAACCCATACTTCTGTCAACCTTTCTAATTTAGTTGTTTGCCTTCTTAGTTTGGGTGTTAAGTAGCAGATCCTTACCAGAAACATGATGTACAAATATTTCCTTCCAGCCTGTGAGTTGTCTGTTCATTTTCTTAGTGGTATTTCTGGAAGCACAGCAGTTTTTAATTTTGATGAAGCCCAATTTATCAGTGTTTTTTTCTTTGTGGATCTTGCTTTTGGTGACATGTCAAAGAACTCTTTGGCTAATACAAGGTCGTGAAAACTCTCACCAGCTTTCTTTTCAAAGGCTGGTGCTCTGAGCTCTCACAGTCAGGTCTGGGATCTGCTTTAGAATTCATGTTTCCTGCATTTCATTGCATTCCCCAATCACCCGATGCTTTCTCCACCTCTGACAAATGCTCCCAGCTGCCCACTGTGCATGGCTAACTCCTGCTCCCAGCCCCTCACGGCCACCAGTGGGGACCGGAGGGCAGTGGCCATGCTGGTTCTGCCTTCTCCCTCTCTCCCGCTGAACACAGCCTCCCTGAGCACCAGGCCCCAGAATGCTGGGCCCACAGTTTCAGCTCTGGCACCTGGCCCACTGCCTAGCAAGCAACAAGCATGTATCAGACACACAAACCAGTTAAAACCTTTTAGAAAATCTCAGACATCCTAAAAATAGCCAAAGGATGTCCAAGAAGTGTCACCCCTGAGGGCAACAACTGAGAACGGCCCAAATCCAACAGCAAGGAAAGGGCGGTTATGCAATCCTGAGATATCCTCAGGCTGTCCTTCTTAAACGCAACTAAAACCAGGTTTTTAAGACTCTGTGAAAGTGTGAGGAAAAGCTTATTAATGTGATTTCACAAAAACTCATCTATGACACCGTGTTCAGACAAGTGTTTTCTAAAGTGGCAGGAAGTACCTCCAAGCATTTATGGTGACTGGCTCCAGGCCTCCCGACAGCCACTTCCCTTTCTCCTTTATGCTTCCCTGTGATGCTGAAAATCTAAAACAAAAATAAAACAATCCCATCTGGGTACCAGTTCGGGTTCTGTCTGCTCTTCTCCAATCAAGCTCCTGGCTAATGGCCTGAGAAAAGCAGCCCATGTGTTTGGATCCCACGCCCACATGGGAGACCCGGATGAAGCTCATGGTTCCTGGCTTCAGCCTGGCCCAACGCTCCCCGTTGCGGCCATCTGGAGAGTGAACCAAAGGATGGAAGAGCTCTCACTCACTCTGTGTGTCTCTCCCTCTCTTTGTGACTCTTTCAAAATAAATAAATATTTCTTTAAAAACTAAAATAAGGGCCAGCACTGTGGCTCACTAGGCTAATCCTCTGTCTTGCGGCACTGGCACACCGGGTTCTAGTCCTGGTCAGGGCGCTGGATTCTGTCCCGGTTGCCCCTCTTCCAGGCCAGCCCTCTGCTGTGGCCAGGGAGTGCAGTGGAGGATGGCCCAAGTACTTGAGCCCTGCACCCCATGGGAGACCAGGATATGTACCTGGCTCCTGCCATCAGATCAGCGGGTGCGCCGGCTGCAGCGCGCTGGCCGCAGCAGGCCATTGGAGGGTGAACCAACGGCAAAGGAAGACCTTTCTCTCTGTCTCTCTCTCTCACTGTCCACTCTGCCTGTCAAACAACAACAACAACAACAAAACTAAAATAAAAGAATTCTGTCAAAGAGAAGAGTGATTTTTTTAGATGCCCTAAGATCCTGACTGTTTTTGGAAGAATAATTTCACATTTGGTCCTAGCCTTAGTATGGGAGATCTTGACTGCTCTAATTTGCTCTGGGCAAAACGGATAACTACTGTGGAATCTCAAGGCCCCCTCCTGCAGATTCTGGGCCTGCGGATTCTGGATGTATGCAGAGCCTGCGCGCCTCACGAGGGAAGGCTCCCCAGGGCTGCTTCCTGCCCGTGGCTGGACACCTGTGCTCACCTGGTACCTGGGCAGGGAGGTGCTGATCTGCAGTCTTGGAAAAGTGGGGATGACTTCCACCGTAGAGCCACTGGTCTTTATTCCCAGGAGGTGGTCCAGCAGGCAGTCACTGACAACACCAAAGACGGTGGTGTGGTAACCTGGGACACAGGAAAGTAGAGACCTCACAACTCCCAGCAAAGTTCCATGCCCCGTGTCCACCTTCCTGTCCACTGCTGAAGTCCCCAACCAGCAAGGGCAACCCTGCAGAAGACCTGGGTCCTGGTGCTGGCTCCGTTACCTGCCAGTCCCTGCCCACAGCCTCAACATCCCTCGGGCTCCTCCTTTGTGGTGGGGGTTACAACAGCACCTGTACTCCCATCCCACCAGGCTGACTGGGCCCAAATGGGAAAGCTCCTGTAAGCCATCAATCTCTGCACAACCCGTAGTCAGCATCTCAGCCCGGGACTGACTTGCTTTTCAGATTTATCCATCTCCACAGTGAGGATAGCAGTTAATATTCCTTCCCGGGACATAATGTAATTTAATGAGTATTTGAAAAATGCTTCAAAACCTTCTGTTCAGAGGCGAAAGTTCAAGAGCCAATTATTATTATTGCAGCAGCTTCGTGATGGGGCGAACTGGCTGTGTGTGTGTGTGTGTGAGCACTGCCGTTAAAGATGAGCAAATATCCCGCTGGTGAGATAAGCACTTGAAACTATTTAAGCAAAGCTGTAGAACGGCTTTTGAAATTTAGCTAATTATTGTCAACAGCATTTACTGTGCAACAAAATGAAACCATACCCAGTGGCTCGAGGCTCAGGTGACAACCTGCCTACACTTGTGTGAGCCTGGGGTGTGCTCAGTGGAGAGGCCAGCATGGCTTTCAAGGGCTCCCGGGGCCCCAGTAGCCTCCTCGGTCCTCCTGAGGTTCCTGCTGGCTGGGAGCTGCTCTCTCAACACCACTCCAGATCACCCTCCCTCAGAGGGTGGGCTTGTCAAAACACCCCCTGCAATGGGCAAAACACTATTCTCCCCACAAATCCATACCTGGAACCAGGGTCTCTCGCATTTCCCTTTCAACAGGAACCTGATATATGTTTTGCCTGCTGAGCAACCACTATTTTATAATCCCTAATTAGAATCAGGCCTTTCCTTACCGTTGCTGAAAATGGCTGTCACATAATAGTCTGATGACAAAGACTTGGGGTCCACAATTACTGTGCACAGCAGTACAGGGTCAGCCCATCTAGCTTTGTGCACAAGACACACCAAAGAGCAATGCCAACTGCTCTGCACAGAGATGCACAGCTCAGGGACCACTAAGTCCACACAGGTAGTGGAGGAAGTGGAAAAGGATAGGGCACTTGCAAGACAGCAAAGGTAGAGGAACAATGTGTAACCCAGCAGGAAGGCTCGGCAGAGGAGCACAGAGATGGACCACACAGGGCTGGGGAACTCGGCCTGATGACGAGGGAAAGTGACTCCCACTGGTTGACCATGATGCCTTCAGAGGAGAGAGAGGGGTCTCAGAGGAGAGACTGCTTTGGGGAGGGGAGGCAGTACATTTGGGTTGGATGTGTCGAACATGCATGTCCCACCCGCTGGACACCAGGGGGATAGCTGGGAAGTGCTGGGGCACAGGCCAGAGAAGGGTACCTGACCCCAGGAGTGGTCAGCAGTCTACAGGGCTGTGAGGCAGAAAAACACTGTGGGGCTGGGGACACCCTCACCAGCAGTGACGTACAGAGGACAGAGAGGAGGACAAGAAACAGAGCGAGGAGCACCTGTCAGAGGGCTGGGCTGCAAGGGGACACCTGCACGAGACCAGCAAGACTGAGGAAGAAGGGCCAAAGAGACCGTGGAAAATCTGGAGGGTGTGGTGTCACCGAGGCTGGAGGACACAGCTCGCCACACATGCAGGGTGGCAAATGAGCACTAAAGCTCCAAGCAAACCAAACCACTGGTCCCAGGTTTAGGCAGAAAAACGCCACTAGTGATGCCACAGACAGGTGTCCTGGTGAAGGGATAAGGGTTAAACTCAGGACGCGGAGGGGTGCAGGAACGTGGCACTGGTGGCAGAAGCGACTCAGTGTGCACAGCCAACTCTCCCAAGAGATCCAGCAGAAGACAGGGGCTTCCTGAGAGCACATGGGACATCGTGGCATCAGGAAAGGTCAGGATGCAGAGGTAGGAACCAAGCTGTTGGAAGACTGTCTGGAGGAGGAGGCAGACAGAGCACAGGAAGGGGCCCCGCCCAGCGCAGCAGGAGCCTGGCAGGTGCCAATCACACTCCAACAACTTGCACCACATCCCAAGGAAAGGCAGTCTTTCCCCATCCCTTGATGGACGAGGACTAACGAGATGGGTGAGAGGCTCTGGACCCTGGTGTACGGAACAGCAGTGTGGCAGCCCCTCAACAGCAGCAATCAGAAAAGCCCTTACCGTTCACGGTGATCGTTCCAGTCGTCTGTGGGACCCCTACGAGCGTCACCAGGTACAGACCAGACTCGGCCGGAAGGGAGAGCACTGCGGGGCGCGACTCGAATTCCACTCCACTGGTCAGCAGCCCCTGCAGCAAGACACAGAGCAACATGAGCAGGACCAGCCTGCACCGCACACCTGGCAGCCCAGAACAAGGCAGTGGAAGGCTGCGGCTTCTTAGAACCCACAGAGAACTGCAGAGACCATGCACACGTGACGCACGGGGCAGTCAGATCAACAGCCGCTGCCCTTGATTTTGGTCCTCTCTACCATGTTTCTGATGTTTGCTTTGCTTTCTTCTTGTACCAAATGGGAATATGAACACAAAGGAAAATTTTTATTTTTCTTTTTTTGAAACACTTATATTTATTTGAAAACAAGAGGGAAACAGAGACAAGAGAGATCTACTGTTTACTCCACTAATGGCTGCAATGGCTGGGGCTGGGCCAGGCCAAAGCCAGGATCCAGAAGCTTCCTCCTGGTCTCCCACAATCTAAAAGATGTCAACAATCACCAGTCAACTATTGGAAAATAAAATGTTTAAAAAAATTAACAAGACACCAAAAATTCCAACTATCTTGGAGTAAATCTACCGAATAACGTGCAAGATTTCATCATAGTTACAGAACCCTGCTGAGATAAATTAAAGAACTCAAGACACAGAGATTCCTGCCCTGTTTGTGGGGTTCTGCTTTCCACAGTTTGCAGTCAAGGCAACCCTCAAACTCTCAGATCCAGGGCCGGCATTGGGGCGTAGCAGGTAAAGCCTCTGCCTACAACACCAGCATCCCATATAGCTGCTGGTTTGCATCCTGGCTGCTCCACTTCCGATCCAGCTGCCTGCCCATGTGCCTGAGAATACAGCAGAAGATGGCCCAAGTGTTTGGGCCTCTGCCACCCATGTGGGAGATCCAGACAGAACTCCTGTCTTCAAGCCTGGCTCAGCCCTGGCTTGGGCGGACACTTGGGGAGTGAACCAGCAAATGGACTCTGTGACTCAACTTTCAAATAAATAAATAAATAAATAATCTTTAAAAAAAAAAAACCTCTTTTATCTGTGGCAGGACAAGGCATGTAAGTGGGTGTGCTGAGAGGAAGGCTGCAAACATGGAACGCAGGAAGGCAAGATGCCGGGCCTCGGTGTGAGTTCAGGATGTATGAAACCTGCATGCACAGATGTGTGCGTGGTGTAGACAGCTGGGTGTGTGGAATGCACATACACTGTGTCTAACTCTGTGCACAGGAGACGCCAGCAGCAGAGACACTCTGGGGGCAGTGAGCACGCCTGCCGCCCACATGTGAGGCAAAGGCGTGAAGTGATCTGCGTGTGTGAGTGTGGAGGGGGTGCAGTGGGCAGGGCACACTCAGTGAAGCTGATCACATGCCTTTCATCTCTAACAGACACACTGGCTTCTCTGTCTTCATAGAACAGCCAGGGCGGTGTGGCCACCGCTGCCTGCCTGAAATGCCGGTGGCTTGTGCACGTCTGAAGTGTTCCATAGTCAGCTTTTGACACAGCACCATGGTATGCTGGCTATATCCAAGTGGTGGTTTTCTCTTGTCTAAGTCTCTACCCTTCCTGATTTGTTAAAATATGTAATTTATTACTTTTAAACCAGGTAAAAATGCTACTTTTAAAATGAAAAAAAAAAGTATAAGAAACAGCAGCAATCATCTGACACTTTAACTACTTTGTGGTAAATTCCCCCTTGGATTCCAAGAGCCAGACAGCCACAGCAGAGGCTGACCATGGCCATGTCCTGAGGCCAGGGAACCCTTGTGCAACAGTTGGGGGGACACCGGTGCTCAGTCAGTCTCAGGACTGCTGGCTTAACACAGGCTTGGGGAGCAGTCACACGCAGCAGGGCTGCCCAACAGTCCTGGCTTGCGGAAAACTGTGGCTCCACCCAGCAGTCTGGCCCAGCCAGCAGGGGTGTCTCTCCCAGGCAGGCGCCATGCATCCCCAACACAGCTCATTGTGTTCACACCAGGGATAAGAGCTATGGGCCTTCGTATCCCCCGGGTCCCACGCACCCTGTACCTGGCACAGGGCATGGCCCTCAGTGAGACACCAGCAGGAAGAGCCTGGTTCTCACCTGGAACACCAGTTATAAAACTGGTCGCAGTACAGAGAACCTTGGGAACGGATCCCATGTAGTCTGAAGGCAGCACAAGTCCCCCAAACAAGCATGGACCAGGGCGTGAATCTTCCACACCCTACATGGTGCAGTAACACAGCACCTCTCTCTACAGCTCCCCCTGCGCCTCAATCCCTGTGTCACCTCACAGCAGCACAACAATCTCCAGTAAGCCCCTGTGAACTCCAAAGTGCTGAATTCCAGTCTCACAGCCAATGGGCAAAGCTCTGTGTGTGTACAAGCCCAAGGTTGCTCTGTGCTGTCTACTCGGCAGCAAGCATGAGACACGGTAATGACAAAACACGGACTTCACTCACCAAACGCTTACTATCTTGGGCAAAGCAGACATGTGTGCCACAATTAATGCCTCTAACAGTAAGCAAAGACGCATTTTAGTGACATGCTGGGGTTCTTGGTCAGAGAGGCCCCTGGCGGTGGTACATACCATGTTCTGCACTCGAAGCTCAAACAGCATGGGGTTGTACACCATCAGCTGGACTTCACACATGTCCCCTTGAACCCACTGGAAATCTAGACATACACACAAAAGAACCCTGGGGTTAGCAGGTAGTTTTGAACTTCCCATGGGGTTTCAGATCAGCCCGCTGACTATTTTCTTCCCACAAAGGTGGTGACCGCCATGCCCATTGTGAGGTGGGAAGTTCAGAGCTTGGTGTGCCCTGCTTTCTCTGAAACCACGCAAAGCAAGGTATTGCCACTGTCCTGACACTACACACAGGGTGCCTCCCCCGCCCTCTGCAGGCTGCACTCCTGCTGGCACCCCAAGGCCACCTCACAAAGCTACAGCTGGACCTGGTGTGGCCCCTTACAGCACACAGCACCCCAAGGGCCCACAGGCTGTCAATGCAGGAAGAAGGCTGGGGTCATTGACAAGAGGCCCAGAGTGTGGCTCATCTGTGCCCCCCAAGACCACGACTTTTCCACCCAGCCCACCTCCTTGTCAGTTGTAACTCAGCAGCCGCTGGGGGAGACAGAACTCTGAAATAACTCCAAGACTCCAAGCAACCCCAAAACAACCCCAAGATGACCTGAGTATGAACATGATAACCAAGCCACATGACAGAACACAGGTGAATGGTTCCTGTAGACTTAACAGAGGTCCCCAACCAGCTGACCAAGTTCGTCAAAAGGGAGATTGCTCTAGATGGGATAGACATGATCAAGTGAGCCCATAAAGGGGGTGAGACCCCTCCTGGAGGGGTGGCCCCTAGGAACTCAAGCCAGCAGCACAGGGACCTGAGGGAGGGGCTGGGGGCCAGCAGGTGTGAACAGGGACCTAAGGGAGGGACTGGGGGCCAGCAGGTGTGAACAGGGACCTGAGGGAGGGAGTGGGGGCCAGGAGGGGTGAACAGAGACCTGAGGGAGGGGCTGGGGGCCAGGAGGGGTGAACAGGGACCTGAGAGAGGGGCTGTGGGCCAGGAGGGGAACAGGAACCTGAGAGAGGGGCTGGGGGCCAGCAGGGTACGGGGACCTGAGAGAGGGCCTGGGGGCCAGCAGGGGAACAGGGACCTGAGGGAGGGGCTGGGGTCAGCAGGGTATGGGGACCTGAGGGAGGGGCTGGGGCCAGCAGGGTACGGGGACCTGAGGGAGGGGCTAGGGGCCAGCAGGGTTTGGGGACCTGAGGGAGGGGCTGGGGGCCAGCAGGGTACGGGGACCTGAGGGAGGGGCTGGGGGCCAGCAGGGTACAGGGACCTGAGGGAGGGGCTGGGGGCCAGCAGGGTAAGGGGACCTGAGGGAGGCCACCTCAGGGAAATGGCTGAGGATACCATGAGGGGTATGGACACAGACCTCCCCTGGACAAGCCTGAGATGTGGACACTGCCTGGGCATAGGACGGCACTGGACGCCCTGATTTCACAGACAGTGAGGAAATCAATCTGTATTGCTCTAAACTGGGAAGTTGGTGATTTCTTACAAAGCAACGAGACACCAGCAGAGTACCCATGACGGGTGTCCAAGATATGCGAGCAGGCAGAGCCTGGCTCTCACTGGAACACCAGTTATGAAACTGGAAGGCAGAGAAGGAGAATCAGACCCCACGTGAGGCGTAAAGCCCTTCCACACGGCTGCCCCACTGCTGTTTGTAATCACCTCGGGGGAACAGCAGTGACCCCAGGGTCACAAGGCAGGCACTTGGGGTCTTAGCAGATGAGCAAACCTGCCTGGGAATACCACCGCCAGCATCTTGTGCCACAGGGACTCTGGCCCAGGCCTGGGAACTCCAGGTGGGCCCTAGCAGAGATGTGGTGGCAGAAGGGGAAGCAGAGGCTTTTCCAGCATTTGCTGACCGAATTCCTTGGCTTCACGGAGCCTTCAGCTTCTGCAAACACCTTGTGCCAGGGAAGCCTGCACAGGATCCAGGACCAGCTCCACCACACCTGTGATGGTGACCGGGAGCTGGCATCTTAGATCAAATCACAAGATGATGGCACAGAGTAACACAGTGCAGGACCGACTGCCACCTGGTCGGAACCAGCACTTGTCTTATTTTATAAAGAAGGAAAACTCTTCCTGACAGGTGGGACAGCCTGCCCATCTTAGGCCCTGATAAATCATTGCTCAGACTCAAAACACAAGGCTGTCAGCTCTGGAACCCAAGCTCTTTCTCCCTCCGCCAAGCTGCCCCTTGGTAGCTCCTGGGACTCAGGCTGCCCTCTCTCTGCAGGGGTCTGACGTCAGGCTCTGATAAGGGGCTTCTCCACAAAGGAGCCAGGGAAGCTGTGCTCATCCCACCTGCCCCCTCCACCCTTAGCAGCCTCCCTTGGCCTGCAAGGGACTGGCACCCCAGCCCACCCCCAACCAAAGATGAGGAACTCATTGTCTCTTAAACAGGTCCTTATGCCTGCTATCACAGATTTGTTCTCTCTCGTGGTCAAAAAATGATCATTGTGCTTTCCAGGGTGCCGAAAAGAGTAATTTGTACTTTGACGGCCTTCGTCCACTACAGGTAAGTCTAAAGTCAATCACTGAGTCTGTGAGAAGTGATTTTTGTCAGAAACAGACAATCCCCTGCCCGTGCCCCTGCCTCAACAGTCCCTCCCTGAAACAGCAAGAGAGCAGGAGTCAGCGGTGGTAAAACTGGCTGTCTCAGGTTCGGCCCATCCCCTGCGCCCATTATCATCTGTGCAGACAGGTGCTTCTGTGGCCACGTTTGCCTCTGCCTGTGGGAGGAAGCGCTCCTGATTGCCTGCTGCATCCCAGTACCGAGCCCCAGGCACACGAGTGCCAGTGCAAACATCATCTACAGGGACATCAGGAACTCTCTAATCTGACCCTCAGCACAATGCTCCCATGAGCTCCCAGTGTGCTCACAGCATGGAGGGCACACGTGCAGCCCAGGTGGCCCTGTCAGCTGTCCAAGGTCACATGGTGGGGAGTGGGGGTTATAGGGCTAGGCTGCAACCCAGGCTGCCACGTTCTGTCCAGGCCACCCTGCCTGGCAGCAGTGACCTCAGATTGAATCTGGGATACCACAAGGTCCTTTCACAAGAGGGAGGAATCTCTTCACCCCTCCAGGCCTTGCCTGGGACCTTGGTTGCCATCATCTCTGCTCAGAGCAGGGCCCAGACGAAGCCTGCACACAGGCACTCAGGCCAGGAATCAGTGCAGGCGGAGGGCAGGTGGTGTCAGCACTGGCCCTCAGGGTCTGCCTCACCTCCAGTGCCCAGTTAAAGATGGACTTACAGAGACTAGAATCTCAGGCAAAAGGGACACGAGTCTTCACACTATAGGCAGAAAATTGTCCAAAAGATATCAGAAGTTGTGGAACACAAAGTACATTCTCCTACCCATGAGTATTCAACAAATAATATGCATCTCAGCTGAACCTTCTGTTATAGATATTTCAGAAAGAACACAAAGCTTGACATTATCCACTGAATAGATGAGCAGGCACTTCTTACTATGATAAAAACTGTATCACAGAGGACAAGGGTGGAGGGCGTGTGGCATGGCGGTTCAGACACCACTTGGGATGCCTGCATCACGTATCAGAATGCCTGGGTTTCAGTCCCTGCTCCACCTCAATTCCAGCTTCCTGCTAACGTGCACCCCGGGAGGCAGGAGGTGCAGTTCCAGCTTCCTGCTAACACGCACCCTGGGAGGCAGGAGGTGACAGCTTAGGTACTCAGGTCCTTGCCACCTGGATCATTGAGTTCTGGGCTCCCATCTTTGAACTGGCCCAGCCCTGGCTGTTGTAAGCATTTGAAGAGTGAACTTGTGGATGGAAGATCTCTCTCCACGTCTCCCTCCCTCCCTCACTCTCTCTCTGTCTCTCCCTTTCAAATAAAATGAAAAGTAAACAAACAAACTGCAGTCCCTGAGTGCCGAGTTCCAAGCCGAGGGAAGGAGACAGGGCCCGGCCATGACCTGGCTGGCTGGCTCAGGGCAGGTGATGTGCACCCCTCAGTCTCCACCCTCTCCGTGAACAGGCACCTGCAGCATCAGCATCCCACCACGATGAGAACTCCTACCTGGTGTCGGCTTTGGACCTCATTCACAAAAGGAAGCCTCATCAATTGCTGAAGAACAAAGAACAGTAATGAGGCTGGATGCTGGGCACGAGCCACAAGGGCAGAGACTCCAAGCCAAGCTCCAAGGCCTTGAGTTTAAGGCTCTGATGTCGCTGTCTTTGAATCCTTAATAATGTTGTAACCAGGGGCTCCCCGATCCCCTGCTGTGCTGGGCCCTGTGAATCACACAGGTGGCCTCAAGAAGAGGAGCCTGGCCTCCAGCCCCTAAGCCCTCTATACAAGTCTGCTCTAGAGCCTCCCCGGCCCTGCCTCCCCAGTGCACAGTCTTTGCTCAGGTTCAAAGGGGAGGTACCCAGGAGCACCTCTGCCACCGACATCCTGTCTCCCTGTTTGACTTCCTATGCACTTGTCCAGCCTGCACGAACTGGGTGGGTAGGGGCAGGCTGCAACCCTCTGGCTTAGCTCAGTGCAGCCCAGTGTCAACATGCTTGGAACACTTACACTAGCCAGGAGCTGGGCTCACATGATTTACTGAACACTGACAGCAAAGGACAGAAAGGGGTACAGGTGGCTGCCACACCACCATGAAGCCATGACGCTATACCTGAGCCCTTAGGAGCCAGGTGTTATCTGCAGCTAACTGGGGCCCACACCAGGTGCACGTGCACATTAGAGCAAACCAGAGAGCACCCCTGGGAGTGGGACACTTGGTCTGGGGATGTGTGAGCCCAGCTCTTGGGTTTGTCACTAAGCAGCTAAGTAACCTATAGGAAACCATCTCTCTATGTTTTTCCATCTATAAAAGGAGATAAAAACCAACTCCTCCAAAATTAATGCAACAACTAAAGGCACAAAAATACGAGCCAGCCTCTTCTCAAGCAGCATCTGAATGAAGAAGTGATCTCCAGGGACAGAAAGCACAGGTCTGTCTAGGACTCCCACCTTGTTCTTGCCCTGTAGCTGAGCAAACAACTTTACTTCCAAAGACGCACTGTTTTCAGGGAGTTCTGACAACATGCAACTTGTTGGTGATGTTTAC